CCCGGGGGCGCGGGGGGCTATTTGTAAGGCCGGAGGAAGCTGGAGACTTTGGAGCGGAGGAGCTTGATGAAGGAGCGGGGCAGCATCTCCTTGTGTTTCTCCGTGTATTTGAAGTAGTTCTGGGGATGTGCCAGCACGTCGAAGAAAGCTTTGATGAGCTTCTTGTCCTGCGGGGAAGCCAAGTGGGAGAGGGGGGGTCACAGTCCCACCCTGTGCTCCCCTGTGGTGGCTCCGAACCGAAGCCACGAGTGCAGGGGGGACACCCAAAGGAGGGGTGCAGGGTGCTCCTGCATGTCAGCATCCCCCAGAGCCCGGGGCAGCGAGGGCCCAGAGGGGACCTGCTCACCTTGAGGATCTCCTGGTGGTTTTCGGAGGCGTAGAGCCTGCCGTCCCGCACGATGTCCTCCACCAGCTGCTCATAGTCCTCTGCAACCCAGCCAAAAAAAAACCCACGCTCACGAGCTGTCCCTTGTCCACAGACCTGAGTCCGCTCCCCCCAAATTGGGGGTGACCCGGGTACTGAACTGGGCAGGGAGGCAGCAGCACAGGGGGTGGTGCCCCCCGTGCCCCCAGCTCACCGTCGTAGGTGACGTAGGGGATCTGGAAGCCCCGGGCGCTGTTGGCTTCGCTGGTTTTGAAGTTAATCCAGAGCTTGCGGGAGCGGGCGGTGAAGGCGATGGGCCTCTCGTAGGTCTGGCACGTCTCGTAGGTGGTGATGGAGGATGGGGAGGCTGCGGGGGATGCCCAGGGGATGTGTGATGCTGGATGCCCATCAGCAGAGCCACCCCCAGACTTACCGTGCTTAAATGCTCAGGGTGAAGAGAGGCACCACGTTTGGCGAGGCTGAGCCCCCCCAGACCCTCACATGACACACTTGGGGTGTTGTTATTCCCTCCTTGCTCTGGGAAGCTCCAAATGGGGCTTTTTATCCCCAGAACGAGTACTGAGACCCAGATGTGCAACACCGCCCATGCACATCCCCTGGTGCAGTGAGACACCAGGGCAGCTGGGCAATGCCAATCCCCCCACCCCCAATTCCCAAAAAGCCCCAAGGATGGAGCTCTGCCAAGCCCCAGCCGTGCCCCCCCAGCTCCTCCCGTGAGCACCGCGGCGTGCTCGGTTACCTACAGTTTTTCCGCATGACCAGGACGTCGCCGCACTCATCCTCAGAGGGGAGGAAGATCTCTGGCACCACGATGAGGATCTTGCGCTTGGGCGGGGGGTTGATGTTCCAGGTGCACTCCACGTTGGCAGGGTAGTTCCCCGGGTAGTTGGGGGACTCGATGTAGCCCGTGTACTCGCCCAGCTCGCCCCCACACTGCCGGTCTGCAAGGCGTGGAGAGACAGGTTCGACTGGGAACCAGTGGCATGGGCAAGGGTTTACTGGGCTAGGTGGAGAGTGCTCCTTGGATTACAGACTCCCAGCATGGTGGGGGCTGGAAGGGACCTCTGGAGATCATCTCATCCAACCCCTCTGCTCCAGCAGCTCACCCACAGCAGGGTGCCCAGGGTCACAGCCAGGCAGGGTTGGGATC